CTTGCTTGCTGTCTGTAAGTTTACTTTTGGTTTTCTATATTTTTTATGAGTGTCAACTAACTTGTTGTCTATGGTTATTAGAATGCTAAAAGAATCAATTTACTATACATGGCTTCCATGGAGCTGAAGAAAGCACATGTAAATGTTTTGAGGCTCACTGAAGAACAGAAGGTAAATGTCAACTGCCATGTGTTGTTAAAGCATGTCATGCTTCATACTATGTGCAGCTTTTACTGACAGAGATTTGAATTTAAATGTGCAGAAAGAAAAAGAAGAGCTCTTGAAGAAGTATCTTCAGCTGGAGGTTAAGCATAAGTTACAGTTGGAGGCCGAAGAATTAAAAGGAAAAATAGAAGTCATGAAGTGTCTGGGAGATGATGACACTGATATGCACCAGAGGAAGATGGAGGAGATGACTGAAGAGTTAAATCTGAAGATTGGAGTTTTGAACCATTTGGAAGTCTCTACTGAAACATCTTCTTATTCAGAAAAGGGGTTAGAGGCTAAACAGAAGTTTCAAGACATGCAACTAAAGATTGAAGAGTTGAGTCAGTTGACTGGACAACTACAAGAGATTATTCTTTTGATAGATGCCGATCACGCTGCGATGATGACACAGATGGTGGGCATGAATGGAGTATTGAATGATAAGATTGAAGCAATTAACCATTTGGAAGATTTGACTGCAATACTTGCGACCAACTTAAAGCAGAGCAAGGATGAACTGCAAGATGCTCGGACAGCATCAATCATAGTATGCCTTTTCCATACCATCTTTTTGCAAGATATGCAGTCTCTTGGTCTTACAGCTGTCTTACGATTTCGACTTTAAATTTTGGTTTGTGACCCATTTCTTTTCCCATAAATAAATACTATGTATATAGTTAGGACATGAATAACAACATCACCTCAACATATCTTTAAAGTTAAATGTCCTAGGCAAGAAGGAAATTAATTGCCTATGCATATAATAGAGCAATTTTTTCATTAAATTTTGTTATTGCAGATCCATCAATTCTAGTTTCTGTTAGTTTTAAATATCATATATGGCAAAGAAACCCAGTCTCTTTAATGTGAAGGTTAGCAGGAAAAGGGAAGAACTAGTTTTTGGGTCACACTTAACATTTAACAGTTGAAGTTCATAAAAACCATTGAATGTAGTACATTTTAGTTGGACAAACTTGTTAATCCCATCTTTTTTTTTTTTTAAATTTTTTTTTATTTACTATTATAGGATATCGTTTGTGAAAGGTGGTATATAACTTGTAGCAACTATTTGCATGTTTCCCTACCTAGTCTCTTGTTCTAGCTCCAGCTTCTATTTCCTGGTTTTTATACTGTTATTGAGTCAATTTCTTTTTTAGTGTCCATTCTTTTTGACTGTGTATGAGGCCTGAACAGCCGTATCAAAGTAACTTAGCCTGCATGTTCGAAATATCAACGTTTGATGTGGTTTATCCTCTAATTGTTGATGATATGTGTTTTTTTTTTTAATTTATGCTTTACGGTCCTTCCTCTGCACTGGTCTGAAATTCTGAATACATCTCTTTTTTTTTCCCTTGTGATCTAGGGTCTGTTGGACACTATGCCAGACAATCACAATAACATTGGAGTCAAAGGGATGGGAGAAATTGATGTAAAGGCCTTTATCAAGGAGTGCAAGAAAAGGTACACAGAGGATGCAGCCATAACAAAAGCAGGAATGATATGCTCGCATTGGCAGGAGAATGTTAGATCCAGCTTGGAATCCTTTCAAAATTATTAAGATCCATGGACAGTTACAGGTGATTTTTTTTTTGTTCAACTCTTAGACTTGAAGTTATCCATTACATCCATCTGTAAGCAATGAGATTACATTTCATCCATAGTGAAGCCATTTTTTGTGTAGATCAGCTTATTATACTGCAACTATTGCCTTATTTGCAATAGGAATGTTACATGCCTAAGCTAACCCAACCCTGCTTTGATATCACTTTATTATACTGCAATTGAAACTTATGAATCTATTTATCAAAATACTAGCATTAGATATTTGATAGTGTCTGTCTGGCAAGACCTTGCAGTGACTTTCAATAAAATCCAGGTTAATGAGAGAGAATAGGGAAGCATTTCAAAAAAATTCCATTGTGAACATTTGAATATTATACCCCAATTGAAATTTTATTAGGGGTTTGTTGGCAAGTATTGACAGCTTTGACGCTCCTCCCACGAATAAAGTATTTTCACCCTTTTTAGTGTCCCCATAGCTGCTAGCTGAGTTAATAAACTGTTTCTATCTGGCTTTCTTTTAATGTGTGTTGAATTTTGATAATGTAACAGTATGTTATGGTGCTGTAAGCCTGTAAGTAGATGAGTATATGAGATGTAGTGATTACTGGCAGTGTTTTCATAATTGACTCGTAAAAACCATGGTATACTTTAACTGTATGTCCAGTACTTCAACCTTAAAATGGATTCATGGTGCAGGAAGTAATCAACGCGGAAGATAAGAAGCTGAAGGAGCTCAAGGTGCAGTGGGGTGATGAAGTCTACCAAGCCGTTACAATGGCCTTGCAAGAACTCAACTGTTATAATCCAAGCGGAAGATGTGCAGTGAATGAGCTTTGGAACTATAGGGAAGGACGCAAGGCTACATTGAAGGAAGTTACAAATTTTGTTTTTCAGAATCTGAAGACTCTTCAAAAGCGCCAGATATTGAATTAGTTCTTTATGTAAACTCGGAACAAGTTGGTTTGAGTTTGATGATGAAACTTCAGAATTCCTTGTATTCCAGCTTGACCAGTGGTCTAGTTATCGCTTATAAATATTAAATATGTAGCTAAAACAACTGCTAAGTATATATTTATAGTTTTGTAGACATTATAAAAATATCAGTGTAGTAAGACGGGTAACTCTAACTAGGGAGGAGACCATAGTGAGCTTCTATGCTCACAAATTTTCAAGTATGTCAGCACCCAAGTTATCTGGAACTAGAATGTGACTCTTCTATAGGCCTAAGTTATTTGAAGGTTATGTAGTTCTGAAAACGTGACCTCTATTTTCAAGTTTATTTACGGTGTTAAACTTCATTTTTTCTTTAAATGCATCATTGAATTAAATTTGCCTTTTTTACCCAAATACGACTCAAATATTAGAATTTGCACTTTCTATTGAGAATATATGCGCATTTAGAAAATAATGGTTCATAACTTAATCTCAAATATTAGAATTTGCACTTTCTATTGACTATGCACATTAAGTGTTGTTTCAAAAAAGATCTATTTGCACATTAAGTGTACAAAATTATTTTAATCTTGCTTAATTGTCCAATGTGAAACATATAATAAATATGTTAAAGTATGTATTTGTACACTGTAGTAAGATGAACAGAACATGTAATATAATTATAGGGTAATGATATATATAGCCCGTAATGCTAAAAATAAAGGATGAAAATGTTGATTTGAATATGAACAAAATTTAATATTGTAGCTTGGTCTTTTGTTAAGTGTATAAACTTGCTTAAGAATGCTATGTTCTCAATGTACCTTTGGGGAATTGGCCAACAAGTGTGAGAGGATGACTTTTTTATTTTTTTATTTTTTTTATGAAAGTGTGAGAGGATTGAGAGAACTTGGAAAAGAGTGATGAAAAAAAAAATGATGTTGAATCGGGGTGTGGGGAGGGAAAATCACACCAATAACGCGTTATGGTACTTTTATTTATTTTATCTTATATTAACATTTAATTTTATTATTTTACTCTCATGTTGTATAAACTTTATTTATTTCATGTTCTCAAAAAAAAAAAAAAAAAAAAAAAAATCATTTATTTCATTTGCTAAAACTTTCTTAAATTATTTACACATTTTACCACTCCTTTAAGAGCCCTTTCCCTAAATAATGTTGGGAAATTATCTAATTCCCAAATTATAGCTACTCTTTTTTTAATTCCCATTATACCGTCCACGTCAGCTAAGGAAAACAAACCAATTTTTTTTTCTCGGTCCAGCAACAAACCGCTACTTCAAGTAGCGGTTTTAATTTTGTAAACCGCTACTTGAAGTAGCGGTTTTCCTCAAAACACCGCTATTTGAAGTAGCGGTTTATGAAATTAAAACAGCTACTTCAAGTAGCGGTTTATGGGTTTGTTTTGTAAGTTTTTCTTTAAAAACAAAATATCTGTAAATCAGTAATTAGTAAATACAAACTGCTACTTATAGTAGCGGTTTTCTAATAAACCCGTTTTTTAAAAAAATTCCCACTGAACCGGTGACGTGGACGGTAGGGTGGGAATTTAAAAAAGAGTAGCTGTAATTTGGGAATTAGATAATTTCCCAACATTATTTAGGGAAAGGGCTCCTCCTTTAATACTTTTTAAAATTTTATTCTTGATTGGATGCTCTATCTTTTTTACAAGGCTACATATTCAATTGTTGTATGTGGTCCCTACATACAATTCTAATTTGTCATGTCTTTATTGGCTAGAATAATGGGCCCAAGTTCCATTATATTCAATTTATATTTGACTTCTAATTTTCTACCAATTTCTGTTGATGTGTCAAATTTCTAATGGTGTTGTATATAGGACAATATACAATGATTGTATGTGTATCAGCTATCCTATCTTTTTCTCACTTTACACACTTATTTTCAAATGTTTAATTTTTTTTTTTCTTTCTTTAGAGGATTCATTACAATGACTTATCATAGCATCAAGATTCAAGACTAAAAGACTTTTGTTGTTGTTGTTGTTGTAATTCTTGTAAAGTGTGAGATTGTTGTTAATTTTGTTAGGTTCCCTATATACACCACATGACCACAATACCACATGACCACAATATCACACTATACACTATTAATAATTTTAATATGGTCAATTAAATAATCCATATTGAATTTAGTACAAATCCCAAGTTCCCCAATGAGAAGGAAAAAAAAAAAAAAGGATTGTTCGTAATAATTCAGGTTTAAAAAAAAAAAAAAAAAACAGATTAAATGGGGGCAATTTGGGTATTTTCACATTTACAAACAACAATTTTTTATTTTTTTATTTCATCGTAATTAGTAATTAGCTAATTACAGTATTTGACTATTTGTCTCCTTTTTCACACTTTCGCTGCCCACTCTCTCTCCTCCATTGAAGTGTACTCTGAGCTTTCTCTCCTCCATTGTAGCTGCTTCTGAGGTAGGTTATCCTTCTTTTATACTTTATAAATCGTCGAATTTCAATTTCACAATCTAGGGTTTAGTTTCACTATGTTGTCGATTTAATTGTTAGTATTGTCAATTTAGGGTTCTTCTAAGGTTGATTATTGACCTAGTGGTTTTGTTTACGATGTTTTGAAAGATTATAACGAGATAATTTTTTTGCTAGAATTTCGATTCTGTGCAATATGCATTGATATTCTTAAGCGAGAAGATTTTTATGCGTTTTTTTTTAACTTATTAGGTTGATAAAAGAGTCAAATTTGGTTTGCTAATGGATTTCATGCTTTTGTTGTATAATTATAACCCTTTAATGTTAGGATGGAGCTGTGAAAATTTTATTTCTTGTAAGAATTATGAATATAACAATCTGTTACATTCAGTGTTTCCACTGATCTAATACAAGCTAGTAGAAATGTCTTGGAGTTAAATTAAGATTCGGGTGTTTCGTTCCGTGATGATATTACTAGGTTACTAACCGTATGACTTAACGAATTGGTTCATTTGTAATGCAAATGTTGCAACTTCTCTTTGAAGGAAATTGATGGAGAACAGCTCAGGTGAAGAATCTGGGATCAGTGATTCGGAGATTGAGGAGTATGTGGAGAAACCGTATAAAGAATTGCAATCTGGGATGTACAAGGTGAAGAAACCAAATGGTTTCCTTAGATGCCCGTTTTGCGCGGGTAAGAAGAAGCAAGAGTATGGATTCAAGGACCTGTTCCAACACGCCTCCGGTGTTGCCAAAGGTGCTTCCCATCGAAGTGCTAAACAAAAGGCTACCCATCTTGCATTGGCGAGATATTTAGAAGTTGACTTGGGTTTTGGATCTGCACAACCTACCCAAGCAGCTGATCCAGAACCACAAGCTAGTGAGCAAAAAGAGGATATCTTTTGCTGGCCGTGGATTGGTGTTGTTGTCAATATCGTGAGTGATGAAAAGACTGGAAAACAAGTGACTGACAGTGGGTTCTGGATGAAAACTTTCTCCAAGTATAAGCCTTTGGGAATTGAAGTTTTTCATGACGAACAAGAACAAGTTGCACAAGCTGTGGTTCACTTTGAGAAGGAGTGGGCTGGCTTCAAAAACGCTGTGGACTTTGAGAAGTCATTTGAAGCTGGTCATCACAGTAAGAAGGAGTGGATTAGTAAAAAGGGGAATCTTGGTTCTGCTATCTATGGATGGTTTGCCCGTGCAGATGATTACCATGCAGAAGGTCTGATGGGAGAGTACCTTCGCAAGAACCGAGAACTCAAGACACTTTCAGAAGTTATGCAAAAGGGAAGACAGGACACTGAAACAATGGTTGTCACCTTGGCTAATGAGATTGACATGAAGAACCAGAACCTGGATGAAATGCAATCCAGAGTCAATGAGAAAGCTATGTCCTTGAGTCGGATGCTCGAAGAAAAAGACAACCTCCACCAAGCATTTTATGAAGGTAAATTCCTTAAACCACAAAATGTGCTTTATTCCATTATATGCTATGCTGCTTTCATTGATACATACATTAACATTAAATTGTTTATAATTTTGCTGTGTTATTAAATGCTTGGTTCATTTTCTATTTGTCCTTGTGGACTAAAAGCGGGGTATGAAACCATGTTTGTTTCTCATGGGCAATAAGAGAGGTATGACTAGTTTAAACCTCTAATGAGAGTATTTGGTTGAGAGAGAATTAGAAGAGAGGTTTAAGTCCAATCCGATTTTGAAATAGTTGGTTGTTGAAGGTTTGTGGAAAAGAGGTTTGTAAATATAGTTGTGAAATGACTATTGTATCCTAAAGTTAGTAATGTTTATTACCCTTGACCAAGTGTGCTGAAAAATCTCCCTCGCTATATATTATCCGTTACAGTAGACTAGTAGAGTAGCTATGAATTAACAACTGTTTGCCAAACACTTTATTTAAACAGCTAATATATTCTGCTAGTTTAACTAGCTTATACAACCTGCTAAGAACTAATTGTAGAAATGCTTGACTTGCATGAGTGCAAGAGCTGATTGGCAAGTATTTGTTATGGAGTCTTGTCTTTGATACAAGATCTTCTTCTGGTTTTCTCCTTGTTCACCTTATTATTTCATGTTTGTAGTGAGGTTTCCAATGGGTCCACATGTTAACATTGATAACTTTTGATGGTTATATTTCTGTTATTTGAGTTATTATCTTGATACAAGTTTTGAATTAGATTCAGTATCTTCTTTTTTCAAGGACAGTTGAGGGTGGCTGAAAATTTTGAAAATTCCAACTTGCTTACCTTTTGTAGTTTTTGTTTTGTTTTAACAGAAACCCGTAAGATGCAGCGCATTGCTCGGGATCATGTTCAAAGGATATTGGCAGAACAAGAAAAGATAAATCATGATTTGGAGTCGAAGAAAAGACAGCTTGATTGGCGCACTAGAGAATTAAGCAAACGCGAGGTCTTAACTGAACGTGAACGGCAGAAACTCGATGAGGAGAAGCAGCAGGTGAGCTGTTTCCTGTGTTCTTGTTAACTTTTTGGGTGGTGTTATTGTTACAAACTGACAAATCAGAGACAAGAATTCTTGATTGTTTACTTCATTTATTTTACTGTGGATATCTTAATGTTTAAAAAAAAATTAGCTAGTTGGACTGGTTTTGGATTTTTACATGACATAAATTTTTGGTTCATGCATCTTGATGCCATCCATTAGGAAATGAGGCTTTGGACCGCCTTTGGTTTTGTTTTTGTGGACTGGTTTTGGATTTGATGGAAGCTTTTTGGTTGCTACTTTCGTGTAGATTGTTGCACACTTGATTCTGCTGCATATACATCTTCAAGGATATTTCAGATTATGAATCTCATACGTACTCTAGGCATGACCAAACCTCTGGAAGGTTGGCAGTTAGCCTGTCATAGTGTTGTAACCCTCTTTGATCTGGTATTTTAGTCATCTGGATATGTTATGGACTCAGTGCCTAACTTTCAAGCTCACAAGATATATACTTATTTAGATTAAAGAGAAAGGTTGAATCTTGGCATTGATTCAGGGAAAATAGTTACAAAACAATAAGCTTTAGGCTACTTATCTCCAAGGTAGTAGCTTGAGGCTACAAAGCTCCAATGTGCAAACACAGATAACAAAACAACTGACTGCCTTCTTCATTCGTTCCTCTATTTATATACACATATTTTGTCTTCTTCCTCAACTGCCGAAAGGGATCCTAATGGTGTCCACTACTGGTGTGGGAGGGCTAGGTGTGTTGTGGCTGCCGCTTTGCTTGTTTCAGCTGTTTCTGCATTTCCTCAGTGGTCACTTGTCTCTGTTCTCTGTCATACCTAACAATCACTGGTGGCTTGGCTGGTTCCATTGTAGGATATTTTCAAATATTTGTGCTGACCTGCTTCCAACGAATAGAGACACACATCTTGCACATATATGCTTTTCTAATGTTCTGAGGTTCTGTAGGCACGAAAATTTGTCTTAGTAACTCCAACTGGGATTATTGATCCTGTGGCTGCAGTAGGCAAATATAGTCACTCACCTCTGTTTTTAGTCAAACATTAAGCTTCTAAAGATAATATTATCACATCTGTTGTATCTCTGGTGTGTTTGGTGGTTTACTGTGACTTATTTGCAGATGCCAACATTGATGATAGAAAAGCAGAATAGACAATAGGATGGTGTTACTATGTTAGTAGTATTATTCTACTCAACTACAGATCGACTTCACTTTGCTGGGGTCAAGTGCTGCATGGCATGGATTTTAAGTCAATGGAAATTACTGGGGACCTTTCCTCTGATACATTTACTGTAGCTCCAAAAGGATGTTTCATTTATATCTGACTTTTCATGTTGTTCGTTGTCTTATGTCCGTGTTATGTTTCAAATTCTGTGTTTTTTAGGTTATTATAGGTTTGTAAACTTTAGATATTTATTGAAGGCTTCTCCTGGCATTTGGTTTCTAATCTGGGTGAATTTATATACTCTTAGAATGATGAAAGAAACAATTCACTGCAAATGGCTTCCGTGGAGCAGAAGAAAGCAGATGAAAATGTATTGAGGCTTGTTGAAGAACAAAAGGTAATTTTTGGCTAGTGTGTGCCATCAAAGCATGTACTTTCCATATTTAACCCTTAATGACAAAGTTCGGATGTGCAGAGAGAGAAGGAAGAGGCCTTGAAGAAAATTCTTCAGCTAGAAAAGGAGCTGGATGCTAGGCAAAAGTTACAGTTGGAGATTGAGGAGCTAAAAGGAAAATTAGAAGTTATGAAGCATCTTGGAGATGATGATGATGCCGCAGTCCAGAGGAAGATGAAGGAGATGAGAGAAGAGTTGGATCAGAAGATTGATGATATGAACCATTTAGAAGATATGAATCAGACTCTTGTGATAAAACAAAGGCAGAGCAACGATGAACTGCAGGAAGCTCGAAGTGTGTTAATTAATGTATGTCTTTACATATTTATTTCTCCAAGATATATCTACAACTGGTATTTTATCATCATCATCTATCCATATAGACCAGGCGTAGATCATAATCCCTTTATTGCATGGAGGATAGTAGGACACTATATATCAATAGTAGGAAGCTGAAGTGATATTTATAGCTGTTTTTCTCGCTTCCTTTTCATCTATTACCTTATTTTAGTTGGCTGATACTATTTTAGGATTTAATGTTAATTTTCATATTGTATTAATTTGCTTATTTGGCTGCATATTAGAAATTTCAGATGTTAATTCTGATGATTTGTGTATAATATACTATTCATTCTCCAGGCTCTATTAGAAATGTTGCAAAGTAACCGCACTAATATTGGTATCAAAAGAATGGGTGAGATAGATGAGAAGGCCTTTGTTGATGAATGCAAAAAAAGATTCCCAATAGACGAGGCCTTTGTGAAAGCAAGTGAGGGATGCTCGCTGTGGCAAGAGAATTTGAAAGATCCAGCGTGGCATCCTTTCAGAATTATTGAACATAATAATGGAGAAACCAAGGTGAATTATCTCTTCCTTTAGATCTGAATTTGCTAGTCTTTAGTTTGTATCAGTATTTACCACTTTGGACTTGACAATGGATTCATGATGCAGGAAGTAATCAATGAAAAAGATGAGAAATTGATGAAGCTCAAGGAGGAGTGGGGTGATGAAGTATACAAAACAGTTACTGTGGCCTTGAAAGAGCTGAATGAGTATAATCCAAGTGGGAGATACGTGATCAATGAACTCTGGAACTACAAGGAAGGACGTAAGGCTACTGTAAAGGAGGTTGTTAATTATATATTTAGGAATCTGAAGACTCTGAAACGCAAGAGGTGAAATCGTCCATTTGCTTGCTCTCCCAAACGAGTCTTTTGGTAAGTGGGCATTTGACAACCTAACTTGTTTCCGTTTCGCTGTGATTATCTTGATCTTTGTGCCCAACACTGCATTAAATGATTTGAGGACTAATTTGTGGCAAATCAGGGTGCTTATGTGTTATTATGGAAGGAAACCCTTGCAGTTTGTATGTCTGTGGGTGCACAAGGGTTGGGGTCTCCAGAAGTTTTGGGGCAATGCTCTGTAATTTGCATGCTCTGATTTGTCAAATTTTCATACTGTTCCTTTTGACCTCCTTGTCCAACATCCCCATGGGTCTATTTAGCTAGTTAGTGGTTGAATTTTGTGCCTTGGTTTCTAATCATATGATGTACAATCAAAACCAAATTGATCATTTGTTCTATTTAATGGATGGTTGTACATGAGATATTGAAATTCTGTTTTTGAATTGTCTTGCAGGAACATGTTGATCTCTAGCAAATGCAATGTTCCAGCCTCAAAGTTTCACCTAATGGAAGGTCTAGATCCATGACATTTGTGTATCAGTCAGCTTTCGCCCATTTAACGCTATGCTAGGCTATACAACATTTGTGATTCAATCACAACTTTAATAAGTGAGGCATCATTAGACAATTTGTTCATCTTCTAATAGTACTCCATATGATGATAATTGTAGCCTTTGTAGTCTCATGTTATGTTCCCTATCTTGCTAAATCTGCTTATGTGATTCACTGATTTGTATAGCTTGTTGGAAACATTGCGTTGAAAATTTAAAATGACAGGAGGAGATTATTGGGGAAAATAAATCAAAGCAAATAACCTAAAAAGTTAACCTTGTGCAATGACAAGTTTTATTTAATGCCAGACCATATGAAATAACAACTTATACTACGGACACTTTAAGCAAATCATAAAGTTTATTAGAACTGGGGGCTTTTGGTTCAAGCATCTAAGGTATGAGGTATGGTTTTAAAATGAACGAAACTCATACCTTTTGTTTGTTTTTATAAAATTCAATTTTGAAACCCATACCTCAAACCCCCAAGGTATGGGATTTTGAAACCCAAGGGGGGAGCCGGGGTGGTGGGTATGAGCCATACCCATACCTTTAGCTTCAAATCAAAAGAAAAACATATCATTCCCAACTCAAAATCAAACAAATGGAATTAAGTATCAAGTTCCAAACCCATACCACGCTGGTTTCATTCTTCATTCCATACCCATACCATTATTTGAACCAAACACCCCTAATTACCTCTGTTAAATGTTATGTGTAACTTCAAAACATTTTATATTTCACAAATAATACCCCAAAGTTGCACATAACATTAAACGAAGGTAGTATATATTGTGAAATAGTAGTACAAAGCACTTTAGATTAGGGATAAACAAAGGAACCAACCCATGGTATGGCATAAGCCGAATATGCCCAAAATTCCCAATCTTTGGGTAAATTAGAAAATTCAAGCCTTTTAAACTCTAGACTTTGTAGATCCAAACGAAAAAACCAGTTATGTATACCTATAGCTACTAAATTTATTTGACAAAGTTATGAAATGCAATGCATTATTAGAAAGAACCATACTAGACAGTGGCCCTATTATATCAAATGGACAAGGTTCGTCCATATTTATTTTCCATGAATTGGACTTCAATGTGTATAAACCAGAATATGTCTTCAAATTTTCTTTCTTTAATGCCGAAAACAAAATCTTATAATCTTCACTCGTACAGTCGTAACCAAAACCCATTTTCCTTAAAGTCAGGTTTCGAGGTTCAAACTGAGGTACAAGCTTTGAGGCGCCAGTGATCGGGTTGTACAGCGAAAAGATTCTAGCTCGTTTTTTTCTAGTTAGGTCAATATATTCCATTTGCGCGAAGCAGAGTAGGCCGGTGCAAGAACCAACTAAGAAGGGTGAGTCGCAATGGCTAATATTAGGAATTATAGACCTGACCTTAGTATTTTCAGGAGAATGAAAATCAAAGGACGTGAGAGTTTTCAACCCACGAGAAAAGACTAGTATGAGGGAGCTTTTACTTGTATTTGCCTCATTGCTATTTTTCATGAGGCGAGTGTGAGAGTTGATGAAATTAAGGCTATTGATTTCATCGCGCCAACACTTGCATACACACTTACAACGGAGAAGATCTTCAACAGGTAGCTGCAATAGGATGTTACATACCAACTCCATCGGAAGCCTGCCATGCTCACGATTATTGTCACTTGGTGTATTTAGAATATTTATCGATCTCGGTATTAAGGCTATTTTGGATAGTTGCTTCCCCTTACATGTCTCTAACATTAGTTTTTTGAAAAATCGTCGTTCATTGTTGATAATACTTGTTTTAATGTCTTTCATGACAACAACTTCAAATTTGACAAATTTAGGGTAAAAGAGTGAATAGTGTTGCTTGATTTTTTTCAAAAAAAACTTTTGGTAAAGATTGCTTGATTATTAGGTAGAGTATATATATACAAAACCTACAATAATATTTACTAAATAATATGTTAACATAACTAATTAATAAATATATTATTCTCCTTTCTTTCAAAATAAATAAATAAATAAATATATTATTCTCCTAATTTTATGAGTATGGAAAAAGTATATCAATTAGCGACTGAATGACACAAAATACATTATTTACGCTAGAATAAAACCTAATATACGAAGCTTTATTTAGCTAGCTAAGGAAACTAGATATGATGATAGTATGATATATTACTCCGTATTATATTGCTAATGAAAGAACAATTTTATCTCCTAAAAACATATACAAAATATAAATTTATCTTATTTTATAATACTGTATAATTTATCAAGGTGATAATGACACTATCAACTCAAAAGTTATCCTAAATTTTGTTTTATAAAAAGATAATTTTTTAAAATTTATTTATTTATTATTTTATTTTTTTTGGTGGAAAAGAGAGGGATAAATCCCTAAAAAAAAAATACAAAACCAGACCAAAAAAAAGCATACCAAACAGAAACCAGGAAACAAGACACGGACTACTGACTCCATTGGACAAAGGCCTAGCTAGCAGGAGGAACTATCAATTTTTTAAAATTAAATTTAATTATCTAAATAACTAGTTGTAGTCAACGTTATGGCTTTTGTCTTGTTAATTAACTTCACTTTTTTTATGATTATTTTTAAAAACTATCAATTTCCAGTTTTTTATTATCTAAATGGCTGTAATTTGCAAATTTTCCATATTTTTTTGACATACTTTTTCACTAATTGAAATGTACGAATTACAAACAAAGGGGTCAACTTTGTTCTTTGATTGATTAAAAAAGTCAAAACAATTCAAATGAGGGATAAACAAAGGAACCAACCCATGGCATGGCATCACCAGAATGTGCCCAATATTCCCAATCTTTTGGTAAACTTGAAATTTCAAGTTTCTTGAACTCTCGACTTTCTATATCTAAACGAAAAAACATGTTATGACGTGTTGCTAGAGTTACTAGAATTTCCCTTCCGTCCTTTGAATAAGCATAAGGCATTATCCTTCTTTGTCCCAAAATCGTACGATCAAATAGGGCACAATAATTTGCTTGTGAGAAGCAAAACAATTTAGTCCATGATTGTTGTACACCATATTCCTTCATAGTCCATATGGCATTTAATGTAACCAAATGCAAGCATCCCCTTAAATTAGCCAACTCGAATGGTTGAATACAAGAAATCACTTGATCACTAGGTAGTTGTATCTCATGAAATCTTTCGCTTACAAGATCAAACGCAATTAATTTTTCCGAAGCTATGAAATGCAGTGCATTATTAGAAAGAACCATACATGACGACCATGGTATATTGCCACATAAATATGGACAAGGTTCGTCCATGTTTACCTTCCATGAATTGTTTTTCAAACTGTAGACACAAGTATAGGTCGTCATAAAATCTTCTTGGTCTGTTGCTAGACACAAAATCTTATAATCTCCACTCGTACAATCATAACCAAAACCATTCCTTAAATTCGGGTTTAGAGGTTCCAACTTAGGTATGAGCTTGGAGGCTCCAGTGATCGGGTTGTAAAGAGAAAAACTTCTAGTCTGGTTTTCTTTTGACATGGAATACTCCAAATGAGTAAAGCAGAGCAGACCAATGGAAGAACCGACGAGGTAGGGATTGTCAAGAGAGATATTAGGAGTTATAGGCCTGACCTTAGTATTCTCAGGAGAGTGAAAATCAATCGACATAAGAATATTATACTTGGAAGAAAAGACTATGACAAGAGAGCTTGTACTGCTATTTGCTTCATTGTTATTTTTAATGCGGCGAATGTGAGAGTTGATGAAATAAGGGGTGTTAATTTCATCGCGCCAACACTTGCATACACTCTTAAAACGGAGAAGATCTTCAATTGGTAGCCACGAAAGGATGTTGCATACCAACTCCAACGGAAGCCTTCCATGCTCGCGATTATTGTCACTTAGTGTAATTAGAATATTTTGCTTATTCAGTAGAGATTTCGATGTTGGGGTTATTGTGAATGGTTGATTGAGAAAAGTTGACTTCGCCGAGCGTTTGTTTAACTCAAATTTTGTGCACAATGTTCGTTTATGGTTGCTTGAACTTTTTTCAGATTTCTTCATGGTAACTAGTTAACATTAACAACACACGTACAAAGAATAGGGGATTGTATTAGGAGTTAGGAGAAAAATATGTTAATTCACTTGACTTGGTTGAATAATCTTGTGCAGCAAATAGAATAATTATACTAAGCTACCCATAGAACAAAAACCTAACTTACCTAGGAAACTAGATATGATATGATAGATTATATACTTCGTATTACTAAATTAGAGATATGTTAGGAAACAAACACAAAATAAAGTGAATCATGACAAACTAGTATATCTGGATATATGTATCATTGGCTCATTGCCTTTTATTACTAGGATGTTAATAATTTTTTTTTTTTTTTTTGGCAAATATAATTAGGATAATTATTGAATTGTTGAGTGAAGTTGTAAGATATGAGAGTGACATTAGAATTTATGCTACAAATTGATAGCTTTTACAGTTTTACCAATAATATTAGTCTACTCCGTATAAAATTTACTCTACTAAATTATTGTATAGATAAAATAAGATTTTATTCTAAGAACATACCCCGTATTTTTAATTTAATTTTTTTTTTTTTTTAAATTAAAAATAAGATAAAACATACTCCATATCTTTTTATAATACACAATTTAGGATAACTTTTGTGTTAGGCTACTTGGCACTAAGTGAGGTAAACGGAACAGATTTGCACTTAACTAGAGGTGTCAGTTTAGATGTTTGAAGTGAGTTTAATCTGTTTAAAAACTTGAGTAATGTTAATTTATTGTGTCAAGACAAGTTGAAATCTAAATCGGATTTTTTTTTTTTTATTCGATTTCAGATTGGATCGGATGGGCGGGGTTTTGACACCCTTCAGTCCTACACCCAATAAAGTACCCAAACGGCCAATCCCATACAGGCTTTGAAATGGCGCCAAATAAGAAGCTAAGAACCCAATAATGGCGCCAAAAATGTTCTTAGCTATGTAATGTCTACTTTGTACTTTGTTATTGACGAAAACAAAACCAAAATCTAGAGTGAGAAGCGCCAGAAATGGAAAACCGGGAGGTCAAAAAGCAGCGTCGGACAGTAGACTGGTCAGAATTGCCGAAAGTGGTCGTCCTAATAATCGGCTTTTACCTATTACCCGACGGCTCCAACTACCGGAGATTCCGAGGAGTTTGCAGAAAATGGCGTAAATCTTCTCCTCCTTCAACTCATTTTCTTTGTGCGACTTATCCACGCAATTTACCGACGCAATTAGGTCGTTCTGTAAATCTAATTACAAAGAAGACCTGTCTTCTCTTTCCGATTGATATTAAATACATCGGCATTTTTCCACCCTGGTTAGTTACAGTTGAAGAATTGAACCCTGGTAAGCTCGTAATTCGTCATCCTTTAACTGGTATCAAGTTCGATTTGAACGATGATTATTTCCCCAAAACCCTAAATTTGTTTAATTTTCGATTGGTTGCGATGGAATGTGGGTATAAATTGTGTCACCCAAATGGCGATGAAGATGTGTTTTCTTCGGAAGTGACTGATTTTTGCAGGAATTGTCCAATTAAGACGAAAACCCTATATTTTGGGTTGGATTCAGTGGCTATTTTGTCGCTTGATCAAGGAGGGATATTAGGGTTTTTGAATTTCAATGGGGAATGGAGGTTTTCGGAATTGGGTCCCAAGTTTAGGCTCGACGATATAGAGTATTACAATGAGAATATTTGTGCTGTTAGTCATGGAGGGCAAGCTTTGCTCATTAGTAGTGTTGATGGAAGGGTGATTAAAGTGTTATGTACATTGCTTTCGAAGAATGATTTTGGGAATAAACGCAAACTTTTGGCGGTTTATGATGATGAAGTTTACTTGATTGTTAGAAAAATTTACAAGTTTTGGGTTTTTAAGATGAATGAAGAGTTGCAAAAGTGGGAAAGAGTTTATGATTTGGGGGATAAGGTATTGTTTGTGACTTATGATAAGTGTTTCTTTGTCAATGATGACGAGTTTCATGGGGTTAAAGGGAATTGCATCGTATTTCCTAAGAATTGTTTTCCAACTGAGTTTGGAGATAATTCTGTTGATGATGAATTGTTTCAATCTCCAGAAAAGTATCTAGAACTAGGTGTGTTTTATATGAATAGCGATAATCCTAAGCTGATGTCGCCAAATGAAGAATTGTCTGATCTATTTTGGCCGCCTCCTGAATGGCTCAACCCAGATTCAGATATATGGCCGTTTATACGGTAAAATCTTTTAATTAGTTGTTGCATAATGCATGATTATTTTCTCAAGTGCTTATTAGTTCCATGATGGATAGTTTAGGAGTTGTGACAAGATGATATATTCCAGATGCACTACTATTCTAACATTAGTTTTATGGGTGTGGAAGTGTCAAACTCAAGTGATTTACAACAACTACATACTGATATTAACTGTGTTTGTACTCATGTACTGCTGTATACTGACTACTTCACCTAGCTACTTTCATCTTGTCTGGAACTTGGCTCATCGTGTAAGGGCATATGTATATGGAAAATACTACATATATTGTGATTAGAACAATTTTCTTTTCAGATTGCATATGATGGCGAGTTATGTGAATGTTTTTTTCTATTATTATTAATATCTACAGCATTTATTTTGAATAGAATTCCTAATTCTTCACCGTGCATGTAAACTTCTGTTATGATTAGAGCCTTCAACAATGCATAAGATGTATTGTAATTTTTTTGGCTTCTGAAGTGAATATGCTTACTAATTTCTGACAGCCGGTGTGAAGAAGGTGAAGATGAAGATGAAGATGAAGATGAAGATGAAGATGAAGAGGAAGAGGAAGATGTAGATTCTGATAATAATATTGGTTCAGAGTCCAGCTCAAAAGAACATTCAAAACACGGGGATGATGGACAAGGTGCTGAGAATCCGCCTTCAACCTCAAACCAAAAGGACACTCATGTAGAAGGTTACTGCCTTATCCAATTATGTAGTAAACTCAGAGGAGGCTTTTAAATTTTTGTCTTGTTTTTCATTCCTAATCTAAGGAATGAATTGCTTTATGCCATACTGAATGCTTGGATTTTGTCTCAGAGGTCGTGTGTGAGAATAATGATGTATCAGTTCCCGCCACAAACTCTCTGGGTCAGGTATATTTGAAAGACCCACAGGACCATTGGCTGTTTTACTTTCTCCTATTTGTTGGAAACTGGCATAACACTTTCATTTTATCCAACAGGATTATGGAAAAGATGCTGCAGAGAAGAATATCCAAGGAACTGGTGTCATCTTGGACTTAGTTCCGCATAATCCAAGCCCGAAGCTAGTTAATGTGGATTCACTTCCTCTTAATGCCTCTGCTATTGAGGTATTTTCATCAACTTTACATCTTTATAGAAGTAATCCTTTCTAGTGAGGGACGTAATTCATGATTTCTAATATTTTGCAGATAACTCATGATTGTGCTTCACTGGAGAAATTCCAAGGGATAGATGTCAGCTCCAATTTAGTCCCAGTTTTGCAGAAAATATGGGATAAGCATGGGAACATAATCAAAGGGCATATAGTTCAGAGTAACAGCCTTCTGACATGGGCCTTGGAGTCGCTTGCAAATATGATAATTATCCTTCAAAAAAATACAGGGGATTCCTTGAACAACTCCCAAGCTGATTACCTGAACTCCACCTTAGCCGATCTTCAATTGATGAAATTCAGATTAGACTGGCTAGTTCCTTTTGTCGAAAGGGCTGTGGCAGTTCACAAAAGCAAGTGCCAGAAAGCTATTATGATCAACCTTGAGACAAGAAAGTCAAAGCTCCTCGCAGAAATGCATGAACTAGAAGAACAAATGGTTCAGCAAGAAAAACTTATGGCTGAGAGCCTGATGAACTGTGCACCATCAGTCTTGGAGAAGGGTTTAGCTGAAGGATTATGTTGATTATCTGAATCATGGTATGTATTTTTTACTTTTTGTTTTTATTTTTTATTTTTCATTTCTTCCTCTCTTTTGAGGGAGTGTATGACTGTATTAGACTCAATTTCGATTTGTTTTGTTGTCAACATGCCTTTGGCCTCATTTTAGTTCTGAATGGCTTTCAGTAACTTTTACATCTTCAAATCTCAGTTGGATTTTTAAAGCTCTGTTAGGTTGCGATCAATATATTACACTATTTGTGCACTACTTAGCTTGCTTGTATGAGTTGCATCAACATGGTTCTTGTTGTTTCTGTTCTGAATCATCTGTCTGCCTTGTTGTTTTTAATATGTTTTAGATAAATATATTTAAAAACCACTAAAATATGAAGAAAATAAGGACATTTTATGCAAATTATAATTTGGAATAGAGAGTTATATGACTACTACTAATAATAAAATAAAAAAGCCATAACAAACAACCAATTATTAAGAAAAGTATTATGAAGGATGAACAAAGGAACCAACCCATGGCATGGCATAACCAAAACGTGCCCAATAGGTCCAATCTTTGGGTAAACCAGAAATTTCGAGCTTCTTGAACTCTCGACTTTGTAGATCCAAATGAAGAATCTTGTTATCACGTATATCTAAAGCTACTAGAATTTCCCTTCCATCCTCCGAATAAGCATAAGGCATTATCCTTCTTTGCCCCAAAATTTTACGATCAAATAATCCATTTTCATTTGCATCTGAGAAGCGAAACAACTTTGTCCAAGATTCTTGTACGCCATATTCCTTCATAATCCATATCTCCGTTAATCTTACCAAATGCAAGCACCCCCTTAAACTAGCCAACTCGATTGGTTGATAACGAACAACTAGTGGATCACTAGGCAGTGGTACTTCATAAAACTTTTCGCTACCAAGTTCAAACCCAATTATATTTTTCAACGAAGTTACGAAATGCAGTGCATTATTATAAAGAACCATAGATGATGGCCCAATTTTATAGTTGCATTGATATGGACAAGGTTCGTCCATGTTTACATTCCATGAATTGCTCTTCAATCTGTATACACAAGTATAGATCTTACTATTTTCGTTGTTGAATGCAAAACACAAAATCTTATAATCTCCACTCGTACAATCATAACCAAAACCGTACCTTATATGCTGGTCTAGACGTTCCAACTTAGGTACGAGCTTGGAGGCGCCAGTTATTGGGTTGTAAAGAGAAAAACGTCTAGTTCGGTTAATATTATCCCAATGTATGAAGCAGAGCAGGCCAATGCAAGAACCAACGAGGTAGGGTGCGACGAGAGGGATATTAGGAATCATAGGCCTGACCTTAGTATGCTCAGGAGAATGAAAGTCAATCAACATTAGAGCTCTCATATATTGAGAAAAGACTACAATGAGGGAGCTTGTACTAGTATTTGCCTCATTGTTATTTTTTATGAGGCGAATGTGAGAGTTAACGAAATAAAGGCCTTTGATTTCATCGCGCCAACACTTGCATACACACATTAAACGGAGAAGATCTTCAATTGGTAGCCTCAAAAGGATATTACATACCAATTCCATTGGAAGCTTGCCATGCTCGCGATTATTGTCACCTAATGTGGTTAGAAATTTAGAATATATTCCAATTTATGTGTTGGGGCAATTTTGGTTGGTTGTTGGAGAAAAACTTCCCTTAATTTCGAAATTTGCTCACGTCGTTCTACGAAAGGATTTCGTCTTTTTTTAATAGTCTTAGATTCCTCCATTATAACAACGTACAAAATTCTTGGTTGAATATCTTGTGATACGGAATACAATATTTATAGCTAGAGCAAAAACCTAAGTACCTAACCTACCTAGGAAACTAGATATGAATAATACGTAGTATATGACAAAATAGGGAGAGGAGAGAATGAATAGGTAGAGTATTTATACAAAACCTATGCTCATAAGACAGAAAACAATATTGCTAAAGATATACTAACATAACTATAAACCCTAAGATATATTCTCAAAATAATATCTTAACATAAATATCCTAAATATATTATTCTCTGAATGATATTTATCTACGGAAAATATATCAACATATGAGCGTAGGTTTCTACTATAATTCTTCTTTAAGATAACTAAATTTTACTAAACAAAACTTATTTTAACTGAACTGAAATTAATTTTACTGAACTTATTTTAATTACCTGAAATTATTTTAACTGAACTGAAATTAATTATACTGAACTTATTTTAATTACCTGAAATTATTTTTACTTAATATTACTCCCTCTGCCCCAGTTGCAACTCTTCAATTGGACACGCATGCCGATGTACATGTTTGACCGTCGATATCTTTTTTTCATATATAAATATAAAAGCTATAAAAAGTTTTTATTAAGAAACTATAAATTAAAATAGAGCCAACCACATCCTACATGCATGATTACATTGACTTTTATATAATAGCTAAAAACTATGGTCAAAGTGAGATGTGTAAATGGCGCAAAAAGTCAAAACGTTGTAAGTAATTTGGGACAGAGGGAGTATTTTGTTTTTAAGGTGAAGTGAACAGGGCCTAAAGAGGATGTTTTGGATTAGGGTCTGTTCACATTTATGGAATTAAGATAAACTAAATTAAACTGATTAGAACTAAACTGAATATTTTATGAGAGAAGGAAATTAGGAACTGAAGTGAAACGATTGAAACTGAAATTAAGATGAAGTGAAATAAAATTATACCATGAGTGTTGATGCTCTGAGATGCACTCACTAGTCACTACTATCACTTGGTAACATTTTGCTAGCTACTCTCCCACGTGTGTGGCCTTCTCACTCACACACACCCATCTCACATTCTCACGCACATGCTACATTGTACTTCAATTCCAAAGACTTTCCTAGCAAGCTTCAACTCTCTCCTACTTTGAGAGTAAATGTTACGGAACAGGAAACAAAGTCAATACCTATTCTTTACTAGGTAGGACACCATTGTAGCTTGACTAGCTTCCTTTTGAGCAATCAAGTCCACTAATTTACTGCCCAATTCAACCGTCCTAATAGCATTCCCACCGATGAGCAGAAATTAGTTTCCTCATTCTCTCTCTACCCACTTTCTCTCTCTTTCAACCCATGAGCATTTTTGTGATTATATTTTTATCCCACCAATAATCAAAAAAAAAATTCTTCCCCATTCTCTCTCTAGTACATCTTCTCTCTTATTTTTACTAATACCCTTTTATATTTCTCTCTACTATATTATTTTTAATTCTTTTTTTTACTTGTATTGTGGACCCCACATGATTACTATTTATCTTAAAAAATGCTCATCCTATGAGCAATTTTCATTTTGCGCATGAGCATTTTTCAATATGCTCATTGATGGGGAACATCTTCTACCATTTTCGCTCACCATTTTTGCTCATGAGCAAAAAAATGCTCATTAATGGGATGCTCTAATGTCATATACTCCTTACTTCAATGCTTTGATTAACCGTCCTAAGAGCATTGCCACTAATGGGCATTTTTTTGGTTGCCCAATCTCTCTCTAACCACTTTCTCACTCCTCCTCCCCATGGACCTTTTCTTGGTCATTTTTATTCTACACCAATGGTCAAAAATTATAATCCCCACCATTCTCTCTCCTATTTTTAACTCTATACCCCACCAATATTTATCTCTCCTACACATCATTAAATTTGTAATTTAGTATTTCTTAATTTTATTGTTAACAAAATTTTGTATTGATTAAATTATTTATGAATAGTACAATATTAATTGATTAGGGGATTTTTTATCCACCAATCACCGTCTGACAAGTGGACCAACCAGGTTCCGCCACGTGTCCCTCACGAAGGCCAATAGGAGCCTGCCACGTGTCAGTCACAGATACGTCCTCTACGGACCAATCAAGGCACGCCACGTGTCCACCTATGCCAAATGGGAAAATCGGCCATCAAGGCCCAATCCAGTCTAGAGGCCCGATCAGCCCTAGGTTTACCTTAAACCTAGAGAGTGGCACGCTTCTCAAGGCTATAAATACTTAATTAATCCTCATTAGTTAGGGGATCGAGAAATCAAGAAATCAAGTAGAGAAGAACAGAGATATTACGGAACACCAACAACCGGCTAATCTCGCTAACGACGCAGATTACCAACACTAAGCACTCTCACCTAGAGAGATCTTATTACTTTAATTTCCGTATTAATTACTCCTTAATCAGGTACTAACTTGACCGTTGGAGGCGGAGCTCTCAGGAGTCTCCGTTATTTTGCAGGTACAGGCGTCCGGTTCCAGTCTCGGAATTGTAACTCTCCCGCAGGACATCAGAAAACCCCGAAACATTTGGCGCCGTCTGTGGGGAGAGTACTTCAGAGATGGCATCCAAGTCTGTACCGACTCCAGAAGAGAGGCGTCCCCTAGACGACCCTCAAGTTCAGTCGAACCATGATACCGAAAGTGAATTTGAAGTTGAAACTCATACAGCTCCAGACGGGACCCTAAGGGCCCGACGTACCCGTCATACCGAAAGGAGGGAACGGGAGCATCTTCAAACAGGAAGCGAGCCAGCAGGCGCACCGCTTGCTCGGCAACAGCCGACTGATGGGTCTGCTCCCATCACAAGGAACGAACTCATGACCTTCATGAGGGACTTCAAGGGAGAGATTCAAGAGTTGATCAACAAAAAACCGCCTGCTTCAGTCAAAGAGCAGTCGGCCAAGAAACCTTCCACTTCACTGAAGAGGAAGCCAGTTCAAGGGCGAGAGGCGACTCCTCATCCTAAATCCAAGAAGCGGGAGCCACCTGCTCTTGATTTCACAAAACTTCGTTATCCTACGGGAAATAGGAAACCGGTTCGTCATATTCAGGCGGACGGGTCAAAGCAAATGTTCACAGATGCTCGGCTCCTGCTAGAGCAGAAGAAGAGTGACCGATTATCAGAGTCGGCTTCTACTTCAAATTTTCAAGACAGTTTGCGAAATGCCTCGATGAGGCATACTCAGTCGTACCATGAGAGTCAGTCAGGCGGCACCTCCCGTCAGTCCGGCTTTCATAGTGCCCAGGCGGTACCAAACTTACCATTTGTGCCGCAACAACAGTATTTTATGCAGCCACCTCCATTTGGTGGACCTGCAGCAAAAAACGTCCAACCTATGGACTGGCAGCTACGGCTGCTTAGACTTGGTGAACAGCCGTCGGCCTTCTCCAAGGAAATTACTGAAGCCGCTCAGCCGGCCAAAGTAAAAAATGTTCTAGTAAGCGCCTATGACGGCACTACTAACCCAGAAGACCATCTGATGGCATTCACCAACCTGATGTACCTTCAAGGGTTGGATGATCCCACTTGGTGCAAGTGTTTCCCAGCGACTCTCAAGGGAATTGCACAGCAATGGTTTGGCAACCTGCCGACTGGTTGTGTAAACAGCTTCAGGACGCTTGCTTACTTATTTGCCTCCAACTTCGCTATGAACATCCCTGCGAAGAAAACGACCCTTGATTTGGGAACAGTTCAGCAGGGCGAGAAGGAGGGGCTTCGTTCTTACATCAGGCGGTTCAACCTGATGAGAATACAGATTCAAGGGTTACCGGATGAGGTAGCTTATACTGACTTTTTTAGAGGTCTCAAAGACGGGTCTACCTTTAAATTTGATTTAGTTCGAAAAAGGGTGGCGACTCTTCAAGAGGCCTTGATTGAAGCAGAAGCCTATATACAGGCGACTGATCTGTGTACGATAAAACAGTCGGACGGGAAGAGGTTCGACAAAAGAGAGGGACGACAGAAACAGTCGTCCAACAAAGATGAGAAAAGAAAAGAGGTCTGGGCGGCTGATTCCTCTAAACAGCCGGCTCAGAAAAAGAAAAAAGAATTCAAACCATACTCCCCAAAGTATGTGTTTAACAAGGATAACCAGTTTATCCTAAAAGAAATAAAGGGACGGTTCTCAATTGAGAAGCCGCTCCCCATGAAGGGTTCTGCAAGCAACCGGAACCAAGACAAAATCTGTGCTTATCATGATGACGTTGGTCATCACACCAATGACTGCAT